TCTCATAGAAGTAGAGAGTAGAATAATAGTTACCAGAAGCTGCAAGGGAAGGAGGGGTGCAGGGTAGGAGAACTGGTAGACTAATGGGTACGAAATAATGCTATCTACCCTAAGTGAATAATAGTGTAGTATATGCATGTATTGAACACACTGTACCCCACAAAAATGTATAAGTAAATGTTAAAATTTTTAAAAATACAAAAAAACCACAATCCTGTATGGGTATACACGAATGTGAATAAAAGTAACAACAGTGGTTATTTTGGGGACAGGGAAGGGGTTAAGACTGTGACAGAGCACATGGAGGTACTTCTGGGTACCTGTAAAGTTCTATTTCTTGACTTGGGTGGAAGTTCCAGGGGTGTTTCTCTTATAATGGCTCATTAAACTATACATTTATTTTGTGTGGTTTTCTTTATGTATTTCTTATTTTATAATATAGAATTAAAAAAAAAAAAATCAGCATTCCTAAAATAGAATGTCTTTGTCATTTGGCTGAGAGCTAGCACAGCACATGTATTTCTTTGGAATAAATATTTCTTAAACTTATCTTGGCTTTTCAGCTGAATGCTTTTCTGTATGCCTCTTTTGTCAAATTTTACTATATTAATACTTGATCACATTATTACTTTCCCATCAGTTACTACACCTAAGAAACACTGCAAAAAGAGTTTTAAATTCTTATGGGAAATACTGTCTTTGTGATGTTACATTTCCCTAGCCCTGACAACAGGTTTTATGGTTTAATAGCTCTGCTTATGTGTTTTTGACTAATTTGGTAAACAAGTTTGGGTGATCTTTTCTGAATAAGATATCATGAAATTAACATTATAGTCAGAGTGCATTATCGAATCTAAACAGTTAAAATATCTGTTTAAATACAAAAGTAAGGGAAGAATAAATAGTTGTCATCACATTATTGACAAAGAGAATGAATAAAATAGTTCTAGGGAGATGGTAATAACTTTCCAAAAGGAAGAATAAAGACTATGTGGAAATGTAAATGAAAACATCTATCATATTTATATATGATAATCTATACATACACCATTAAAATATATTTTTTAATTTACTAATAAAATTTTCTTTTTCTGCACTATCTATGGCATATTTTTCAAAAGAAATTTTTTTCTTGGACTACATAACTCTCTGCTCTGTGCTTCTAATTAAGATACAGATTGTTGTTTAGAGCTCTGTGGTGTGAAATTAGACCAGCATTTTTCTAACATCCATAAAACAAATTTTAGAATGTTTCTTTTCTGAAAGAGAGATAATTCAGTCACAGAGAGATTATTTCTGTTTCCTTTGTTTTCTTTCTTTCTTTCTTTCTTTCTTTTTTTAGCTGCTTGGTAAGCCAATTTTCTACTTAGGATCTACTGCTAAAACTCACTTGGTTCCATGTGTGGGCTTTATCCTTTCCACAGTCTGTTATAAAAAAAGATTGCTTTAAAACATTTTTTAAAAATTTGCTGTAAAGAAGTGACTCTCAACTTGGATGCACCTAGAGAACCCGTAAAAGATTACTGATGCCTCATCCCCTCAGAGATTCTGATGTAACTGGTCTGGGTGGGCCCCTTTTTAAAAGCTCTGCAGGTGATTGTAATGTGTTGCCAAAGATCCTGCTCTAGGATCCTGCCACTGTCCAAATAAAAGCTCATTATCTTTTCTGATTGAACCTAGATGGGAAATGCTTTTTAAAAATTCTGTAGCTTAATAGATCCAAAGATAAATTTCTTGTCTACAAGGTTGTTATTTTTTTAGTTTGAATTTCAGGGTTTAAGAGCATATTATATCTTTATTCTGAAGACTGGCTCAAGAAGTCCTTTGGCTGCTAATAAAAAAATTTTTTAAAGGATATTCCTGAATAATACTTTAATAGACTGGTGATTTTCGTTAATGATATTCTAAAAATTTTCTACATTTCACTAAAGGATTATGTTTTCAAACCCAAAAAAAGAAAAACAATGACCTCCCTAGACATTTTTTCCAAAAGATATTCACCTTTTGCATACTGAATTTCACAAGTGGCTGTGAAAAAAGAAATCTTAACAAATTTTTCCAACAGGTTAATTTAGATAGAATAACTGAAAGAGCCAAACCCTAAAACAAAAGCTCTTGACTAATATATATTAATATATTAGGACTGAAAAGGGAGACATTATGCAATCAGTGGTTAATAAAAAAATCATGTGCAAATACACAACTTTCTGAGAAAATATTCAAATACATAAAAGGGATAATTTACTAGAAATCCAAATTATGGGAAACAACTCGAGGAAAAAATAGAATTCTCAAAAAACAACCCCTTAAAAATGGAATGAGTAATGAAAAAATCTACCTTCCTTGAAAGACACCATATCCAGACAGTTTTATTTATTATTTATTTATTATTTTATTTATTTATTTTTTATTAGGCATACATGTGGGGTACAACGTTGATTTTCAATAATTGTGTAGAATGTGTGGTGGTTAGATCAGTATAGTTAGCTTATTCATCATTACAATATGCAATCATTCTTTGTGTCCCTTGACCAATTCCTCATTAGCACCCCCGTCCTTTCCCCCTCCCTCCCCTTTTCCACTTCTAGTTTTCTAAACAGGCAGTTTTATAGGTAAGTTTTATCAAACCTTCAAGTATCAAGTAATTCCTCTTGTTATTGTTTCAGAGAATAGAAGAAGAAAAAGCTAGCCAAATCACTCAATAGGGCTAGTACAACCTTGACATCATATCTAGAAAGGACAATGAAAGAAAGTAAAATTGTGTACAACTGAGCACATTGTGAATCCTCGTTAACATCTAAGTAGAATCAATCACGCCCCACTGGCTCCCACTACAGCTTACACATACTCTATTTACAGCACCATTAATATTTTAATTCACTTGCAACACATTTTCATATGAGTATTTGTCTCTCACTGGTAGACACTAAGATCCTTGTAGGCAGGGATAGACATTTATTCATATCCTCTGGTATGAAATACAGTGCTTACTCAATGGTCATGCTCAATAGTTGCTGAATGACATGGCTATTTCAGTAGAAATACCATTAATATGTAAATGCAGGAGATTGAAAATAATGAGGCAGTGAGTAAATTCATTTGACTAGAACATAGGTTTATATAAGCAAGTAACATTGGAAAATTGCATTAAAGCCAATCAGGGTGGGCTTTTCAGTGCTGAGGCTGAGTTTGGTTTTAGCATCTACTGAAGACATTTGAGTGGGGAATAGCTAAATCAAATCTGTACTTCAGAATCCAGATAAGCACTTTTTAGAGCTGTCAGGGTTTTGAAGGTGACTTATTTGGTTTAAATCCATCATTTTAAAAATAAGACTAAAACCAAACAGGGTAGGTGATCTACCCAAAGCCACAGAACACAGAATTAGCTAGCAGCAGCCAGAGCTTAGAGGGAGTAAACTTGATTAAGGTCACACAGTTAGTACATGCAGGGTAGGTGATCTACCCAAAGCCACAGAACACAGAATCAGCTAGCAGCAGCCAGAGCTTAGAGGGAGTAAACTTGATTAAGGTCACACAGTTAGTACATGGTCCAACCAACAGGCAACCCAGATTTGTTCAACACCAAAGTCCACGATCTAGATAACACCAGGCAACGAGGTATGTAGTCCCTTCAGGACAGTCCTAATTTCATATATATAATGGACTAGTTTCAAATAAAGGTAATTTGTAAAATGACTAAAAGCTGATTTAATTATTTTTACTTTTATTATAAGACAGAATAATTAATAAAATTCTAATTAGCTTAATTACATTAAGTCATTTTGATGAAGTCTTTTACTCGATGAGCTTCTGGACCCAAGATCAATAAAATGGTGGGCATAAACAGGAAGTGAGTAGGAACAGAGCACTTCCTTAGCCTCACAAAATCCACATCTAAAGCACTACAGGTGATTTTAGTCACTGCAACAGAACTGGAAAAGCCCCAGAAAAGAGAAACTAAAAAAATCTACGGAGACTGAGAGAATTCTTAAGGAAGACATACATACATACATACATAAAACATTAGGACTCAGTCTTAAAAGACAGCCTGAAAATTTATTAAACCAGAAGAGGTACATAGGAACCTCGACTTGTTCATTTTATCTCAGAATACTAATTCTGGGAAATATTCCTTAAAGTCTAAAAGGTAATAGATTTAGAGGAAAATATAGGAAAATACTATTTTGCCAAGGTAAAAACTTAAAAAGGCGGGGGAGCTCTGTTTTTTAAGTTGTAAGAAAGAAAACCAAGGAATTTTGTACTCAAAATACTGGTACAAACTGAAACTGCACATATGTTCACATACATGAATGAATGATCAAACCACTGTCAGGAAAAACTACAGCGAGGATACTGTCATCATTTCGTAGAGTAACCCTTTTGGTGTTCCTGTCGGAGACAGGGTACTGAAGTGAGAAGGCCACTGCTCTACAGCCCTCCTGACATATTCTTGACCCAGCTATGGTTTGACACTGCAAGGTCTTGCACAGAATAGGCATTTGACAAATGTTTGTTAATTGACTAATTGAAGTTTGGAGAGGGTAATTAGTAACAGCTTTCACAGGCATGAAATCATGAGCACAGAGTCGTGATAGTACTAATAATAATAACAAGAATCACAATAGTGAACAGTGATTGAGAGTTTACTATATGTAGGTATCACTCTAAATGCATGTATTAACTTGCTTATCTTAATTAACTCTATTTTTCAAGTAATGAAATTATAGCACAAAGAGGTTAGTAACTTGCTAAAGGACAGAGAACTAGGTAGCAACAGAGCTAGGATTTGAACCAGAAACCTGTACTCTTAATCACTACACTATTCCAGCCAGCCCTGGAATTGTCTGGGTATCCTCTAGATAAGATATGTTTTAGAATCTCATATGTAATTTCCTTTTTTGAATTATAGATTTAAAGTATTCACATTTATTTCAGAATAGAAAACTAATAATCCTATTTTATTTGCCCTTCATTAGAACGTATATTTGTTTTAGATTTACCTCCAGTCTTCCTTGAGCATAACCCAGGAGCAGCAGATTGGCTCTGTCCTTCTCAGAAGAAATGGGGGCCCAGGGCCAAGCATCATCACTGACCAGCGGCCACCAGCAAACGACTATATCCTGAACACAATTGATAGCTAGATGACGCTCTGCTGTCCTGTGTACTGGGCCAGGTATGTCATAATAGGAAATCTAATGGTTAAAAAAACATACAAGAAATATTTCTTTTAAAAGATGAAAAAATCCTCAAAGTATAACAAAAATTAAAGCATCTGTAAATGTAGATACATGCAAGTAAATACGCATGTTAAACGTGCTAAGAAGGTGTCAGAATTTACCAAATTCTTTTGACACATATATAAAAAAGACATATGTTCAAAATTCTCCCCTTTTTTAGCAGAGGAAAGGAAAAGGAGAAATGTGAGTTAGAGAGGAACTGGATGTAGCAATTCCAATCAATACCAAAATGTACAGTCATGGTTGCTTGACAGATCGACCTACACATAGGATTTAAGACCGGCTATATTAAATGACAAGTTCAGTACTGCTGACCAAGAGTGTCTGACTACTGTTTAAGACATAACACATTAACAATGATTGACAACAATAAAAGGAAAAACAACTTGAGGCAAATATCTCTTTAAAGAATATATGAAACGTACATATATATTCTGCATAATATGGATAAGCCACAGCATCATGCGTAAAAGTTTATGCAGCTTCTGAGAATTATGCTTCTTTTTCTTAGGAAGGATTTATAGAATTTATTATTCAAACTATGTTATTTTGGAACATGGTTATTTGAAAACATAAGCACGACACCATCTGGGTGACACATGCCAAGGAAATATAGATTGCACTGTATTTCTGCTTAAGGAATTAATGGAAGGTTGATAGCTTGGAAGGGAAAAAAAAAAAACTATCTTGCCATTGCTGGTCAGCAATAATCGAACCACTTTCTGGGGATTAAGCGCATGGCTAAGCCTACTGGACCAGACACTAGCAAAGGGCAGGGGGTCTTCTTATCAGAGAAATGCTTCTGGAGCCAGTCTCACTACATGACAGATTGCTTTCATATTCCTGTCTGCAAGGCAACAAAGGATGGCAGTAATGCGATAATGCCAGAGTGCAATGGGTGTTAAGAACCCGTTGCATTTATGTATTGTATTTAGTAAATAATCAGGCTCATCCAAATTGTGATCTCACCACTCAACCAAGGCCATTAAAATCAAGGTTAATGCTTTAATAATCCTCTGCTATTTTTTTTTCAATATGGTCAAAAGGAACCCTTTTCTATTTGCATGGCCATAATATTATTGACCTCTTCATCCTCTGCATGCACATCAAAAGGAACTGAAATCAAAGTAATTACCAGTGTTGTTCTCTCATGGTAAACATTTAACTCCTTGTCCCTTCACTGTTAAATAAATTGAACTGGATTTTTTAAATGTATACAGGAAAACTCCTTAGAGGTCAATAATTTCAGGATATTTATCCTGCAATTTTCTTTGCCAAAATTATTTCAATCAGAAAGAATTAAATTATGGTACAGTTGTAAAGGAAAGAATTATAATACTCTATATCACTTCCTTGTTTTAAAATCCAAATGGGCAATGACAGACAACACAGACGTACTTTATGCTTTTAAGTGCATAATTTCAATTCTTATATTTAAGCTTTCAATATCATTATTTTTATTTTCTTCTTATTTGAAATACCACAATGGAATTGCTAAGTATTTAAAAATATACATACATTATTTTGATGTCTGACTTGCCATGTAAGCATGTTACTTACAAATTTCTAGATGAGGAAATTAAGTTAAAATGAGCGATTGGCATTTTCAGTTCTCACATAATGCAAATCACTTAAGTTATGTGAAATCTCATGTTTCTTCTGAATTTTAAGGGTGTCAGTATTCTGTCATGATCAACAAGAGGGCAAGTAAAATGAACAAGTTTCTTAAAATATCCTTATGAACAAATGGCAGTTCTAAGTATTAAATATCTATATTTTTAAATACTGAATCAGGAAATGAAATTCATGGGCTTTTCAAAAGAAAACAGATAACTTCTCTAATGTACAGAAATAATATGGCATGCTCTTATTCCTAATTTCCCAAATCCAAAGGCAGAAAGAGTAAGCGAATAAGTAATTCCTTTAATTAACATATAAAGAGCCATATACTAGGTCTATTTTTCACATCTTTTCATAAAAAAAGATGATATCCTTACAGTTTCTCTCTGCTCTCATTAACAAATAGCTACTATCCTTCAGCTGAGAAGAGTTTTAAACAAACTATCCATCATACTTAAGATGAAGAAATAGTCATACAAAATTTTATCTAATAGCATTAGCATCTTTTCATAAAAAAAGATGATATCCTTACAGTTTCTCTCTGCTCTCATTAACAAATAGCTACTATCCTTCAGCTGAGAAGAGTTTTAACCAAACTATCCATCATACTTAAGATGAAGAAATAGTCATACAAAATTTTATCTAATAGCATTAATGACACTTATCTTAAATGGTTTGAGTTAATGCATATTGGTGCATTTTAAGGACCAATATTAGTAAACAGACATTACTTAAAATAAATCTACAGTAAGGCATTCTAGAAAATAATATCTCCCTACGAATGCTAACACCATTTTTTTTTTGACTAGCCAAATATAATACATGAGTACAACTAATTTCCAGTTAAAGATAATCAATATTACATAAAGTTTTATAGAAGCTCCACAAAGCTGGCAAACAAAACCAGATTGCAGTTTATTGCCACGATGAAAAATATACTTATTTAATATATTTCACTCTGTGTTAAGAATCATTTTTATAAAAATAGATGTTTCTATTAAATAAAACTCAATCTTCCCCACAACACTACCACCTCAGTCATAATAAGTAATAATCCCAAAGGTCAAAAGGTTAAAGGCTACTTTCCCAAAAACGTGCACAGATTTCAAGCCACAGAGGTGGCTTCTAAAAATCTTTGCCCTTGCTATAGATACTGTAGGTATGGCATAAGTGTGCATCTTTCCTAAGGAAGCCATATATCAGTTCTGTTCCCAGTGAACTGTCTCAAATCCACGTCACAGAGGCTGGATCAATCTTGCAAACACAAGTCATTGTTGAAAAGAGGCCTTGAACTGAAACAGCCTGGAAAATGTATTAGATACTCATCCTAGCAGAGTGTGCCTTCCCAGCAGTTAAATGTAAGTGGCAAAACTTAGACACACAATTTAAAATAAAAATCCTGCCTTAACAGATATAAAGTCCCTAACACAAGGAAACAAATTACTTGGAGTTAGTGAAGGAAGAGATACTAACACACGAAGGAGATTTCTTTTTGCATTTATTCCAGTTATAGTTGGGGGGGGGCAGGGACCCACTCCTTGTTTATTACACTTTTCTATTAACCTTTGAAAGTGCCTTCTTCCTTCTTTCCTTGCTTGTGAAGTGGAAACCACAGCAGCTATCCTAGCCTGGAAAGATATGGGTCTTACAGGAAAATGAGAATGGTGTATATCCTACCACTAGCAAGAAGACCATTTTCAAAAACGTAACTTGCCTCTATTATCTGTCTTTGACTTCCATAAGTACTATATAAATTGCTCCAAACATACCATTGTTAGACCCCCATAGTGAAAGTAAAAAAGAAAACTTAGGATGGCCACTGTTTGTAGTGAATCAAGCTTAATCCTATAATAATTCTGGTTTTTGTGAAATCCAGAAATGTTCAAGAATAATGAAAATAAAATCAACTTGTGATACTCTAGTATATCTTAATAATTAGTGATATGACTACATAAATTGAAATCTTTACCTTATAATCCAAGGCTGAGAGTTTTTCCAGTCTTTTGTTTATATCAGGAGAATCCATCTTCTTGGTAAATTGAATAAAACATAGTTTGTTTTGTGCCAAAAATGATAAGATGATAAAACTATCAGTGAGAAGAGCTAAAAAACATAATTTGAAAATACCAAGTTAGAATAATACAATAAATTAATATTTTTTCCACTGAAATATTACGAAAAGCTATTTTCAGATGATAAACATTAACTGAAATAGCTAAAGTCTCCTAAATATCATAATGATATTTTACAAGGATATTGAAGATATTAGGAATAAACAATAATCAATCTAATCACTCGTGGATTTGACATTTTTCTTTTCTTCCTGTGACTATTTCAACATACACTGATGTTAGGGGACAACCACCAAATGAGATATACATTTGGAATCAGGGTTAGAAAAGCATAAAAGGAGAAAAAAAAAAAAAAGCATAAAAGAAAGACTATTTCACACCAGGATGTAGAGATGAAAACATTTACTTTTATTTGTGCTTAGACTTTAATCCTAAGTTTATATAAGGAGAAAAAAAAAAAAAAGCATAAAAGAAAGACTATTTCACACTAGGATGTAGAGATGAAAACATTTACTTTTATTTGTGCTTAGACTTTAATCCTAAGTTTATATGATATAAACCATCTGAGAATAAAGTGGATTTATCAACACTATGCTCTACCAAATGAGCTGACTGGCCAGCCCATAAAGTGGACTTATGAGGGGATACTGATCAGTGTTCTCCACCAATCTCTTTTTTTTTATTTAAAAAATTTTCATTAATAAACCTTCTTTTGAGGGCACACAAGCTGAATGAAATAAAGCACATTATGCCCAATATGTATATTACATAAATAATAATGAAGATTAGCAAAACATTTTTATGGCTTTATTCCTAAAGCAAACAAGTACTTAGAAAATTAATATCCAGGGTTACATAAAGAGCCATTAACGTTATATAAAATTATTATTAATAAAAGCACAAATAGAAATTTGAGAAATGTTCTGTATTGTTCCTTGGATAAAGAAATTATAGAATGTTTTATACATTTTTCCTTACTTCCATACCCCTGGCTGTGCAAGCAGTGACCAATAGTGGATCTACACAATTATAGGAGAACCTGGAGAACTGCCAAGAAATCATATTATTATGATGGTCCCATGAGAGTGTATTATTTGGGTTACAAATAAAATAAACTCGTGGAAAAAGATAACTCAGACACATGAATAGTGTGGAAGTCTTCTTTTAATTCTTACAGAGGAGCATCAATATGACAAAATCATCACAGCCACTATTTTACTTGCAGTGTCAATGAAGGGATCAATTATTAGACATATGAAAACGCAATCTCTTCCATAGGGAAGGTTCCTTTGCACCATGCCCTTATAAGGAAGTGGAAATAGCATGCTCATAATCCTACTCCCAGCTTGTTATTATCAGTAATGTTGTTAATTATAGCCATCCTGCAGAGTGGTTTTCTTTAAGATGATGCGATTATATCTGATTTATTCAGATGTAGCTAGTGAGAACACACAGTGGACAGAAGGTTTCTTTTTTCTCACCTCTGTTCTTTTCTCTATACCATACTTTCCTTTGATTATTCAATTTACAATACTAACCATTTTCAATCTTTCTGATAATGCAATCTGTTTCTAGACCTTTTTACCTTGAATGAAAGAACATAACATTAAAAATTTAAGAGCCAGCCTAGTACAGTGGAAAGAAAATGGGTTTTGCAGCCAGAACCTGTGTTCAAGTCTCAGCTCTGTCACTTTCCAGCTATATGACCCTGGGCACGTTACGTAGTAGCTCGGCACCAGTTTCCTTATCAATAAAAATGAAAATAAATATACCTTATAAGACTGTTTTCTTCAATTAAATGAAATAGGTAGGTTGGCACCCAGCATAGAGCCTTATAGCTCAGTAAATGTCACTATACTTCCTATTCAAATATTGGCTTTAAATATTTTTATGTACTTTGCACCCATTATATATTGATTGTAGTGTCACTTAACAGAACCAGATTTATCCAGTATGTTTGACATTGATTTTTGATGTTTAGAAAATATAGCTCAAAATCTCTCAAAAGTTAGGATTCATAGACTTAGTAACAAAGAATCTTCCTTTAAGAGCTGAAGTACCAATTTTTTTACTGGTGGCTGTGTTGACATATTTGTGTTATTTACTCAAAATTCATTTGGCAATAAAAAAAATATTCGAAATGTCAATAATAGAGTACTAATTTTAAGAGAATGAAAAATAACCCTATTTTGAAAATATGTCCATTTTTTTTAAAGAAAGAGTGAAAAATACTCAGAATATGAGCCTAACACTTGGTAAGATAAAAACTTTGGTATTAAATATTAGCTGAAACTTGTATTGGTCCCAGGGGTTGTAAGTATGCTATTACAAGCAATTACTTGTTGTGTTTGCAAGTCCCCAGTGGTAATAATTAGTCTACCTGTTGACACACTATTTCTCCTGCCCTACTGTTAATGTAGGCAATTGATTTGCACATGGGGGTAATTACCATCACTGATGGTGTCTGAGATGAGCTTCCCCACCAGGCTTCTGTCAATCACCACTTTCTCCAGCTGCGGCCCAGAAATGCTTAGTGACACCAACACACCTGAACCAAAGAGGAGCTAAAACAAGGTAAAGGGGGAAGAGGGGAAAGAAGACATGCTGAGAACTAGAATCTTTTAAAAATCTCTTTCCAAATGTACAATTTATGCAAATATTTACAGATGCACCAACACCATGAAATTACAAAGGGTTTTTCTTTATTTAAAAACAATCACTGACATTCTGAGTGAAAACAGACAGGTGGCTAAATGATGGAATGCAATAAGTGCATTGATTAAAGCTATATGCAGAAACTTAATTTAGTCCATGCTTATTAGAAGTCTAATCTCCTAAATAATGAGAAAGTATCTAGGCAGAAATAATTGCTTTGTTTTTACATTCAGAAAATGTAACATATTCTATTAAAATATTTTGAAAGATTATATATCAGAAACTAAAAGAATATTTCTTGAAGTTGGAGTAGTCATTGCTACACATTAAATAGAGAAGAGATGCCACCATCACAATATAAACATGTTATGATTTCTTTGGAATTTAAACCCTACTTCTAACAATAAAGATATTGTCAGTCTAAAATATTAAAGTACATGTACATGAAGGCAATTAAGTAAAATGTTAAATTTTTAAAGTAATAAATAAATAACACTCACCAGAAACAATTTCATAAGGAAAGATAAAGAAATACAGTAATGCATCCAGGCTTTATCAATATCAGTGTTCACACAATCACCCAACAAAAGATGATTGGATAGCACTGTTATAATTTTATACTGCTTTCCATTTGTGGCAGCCTAATTCATTCATCTCCAAATGTTTAAAACTGAAAGGACTATGCATATGTGTATGCTTGTTATCTATGAGCTTATGAAGTATCAACATTGGAAGAAATTGTTTCACCTTCAAGGCAACAGACTCAAAGCTGATGAATCATGGAATAGCATATGGTATAAGAAGGAAAAAACCAATTGTCAGTAAACTAATCAGGAACATGCTAGCCAAACCCAAAGACAACTATGATTTTAAACAAAACAGGGGAATCCCCCACCCACCTAGGCATCATGTCCCAGCTAGAGAGGATGATTCTGCGTTAAGACAGATTTGGACTTGTGTGAAAGACGAGCAGCATGAGGCACCAGGGTAATATAAAGAAAGACCACTATATCCCCACTGCCTAACACAAACCAGGCACAGGAATCAGAAAAGAATCTGAAGGGTCCCTTTGTATATATTATTAGAATCCTTGTCCTGGTCACCAAAAAGCTTACTTTCACTTGACTTTATGGACTTGTTCCATTTATGATAATGCCTCTAAATGGGTCAGGGGGGGTTTGCGGGGGGACTTAAACATCTTTATAGGTTTTGGAGACTAATATGAGAAGACACATTTGTTCCAAGAATTTCAAAATACTTCACAAATTAATTAATCATTACTGAATTATATCCAGCCCTGCAACACACCTTGATGGCAAATACTGATATTTCCCTTTTGGGAAATTCCCCCAGAACAAAATAGCATGTGGTTGTATGGTTCACTCCCCAAATTCTCCCTTCTCAGGCAATTTTAGGCTCCTCTTTCACATCTAGTTCTCCCTTTCCTCCCGTTCCTCCTTTATTCAAAACATCTCTAAAATCTGTTCTTTTCTATTTTTTTTTTTTACCTATTAAAACTTCACACCTATACTCTTAAGCACCTCTTTTCCTAATTATCCATCAACTACTAGCTCCTTATAGATATTGGTTAGGCCATACTTTTCTTTCTATCTTCAATGCCTGGAACGATGCCAGCTACAAAGTAGGCACTCAATGAATGTTTGGAGAAAGAATCATAACTAACTCATCAGAGAATCAGGTACTTTCATAGTTAGAGGAAAACTTGGTCTAATCTCCCACTTTCACATGTTCCTTCTGTAGCATCCCTTCAAGCTTCCAGCCTGTGCTTGAAGACTGCCAGTGACTGGGAGCTTACTACCTCCTGAGAAAGCTATTCCACCATGGAACAGTTCTAATGAATTTACAGATCACTCATTCATTTTTTCATTCAATAAAAACAGAATGTTGATTGTATGCCAAGCACTAAATTTAATGGCTCCAAAATGAATCTAATATAATCCTTAAAATAGATTAAGTATCGGTTAATAGAGAGAGGCAGAGATACAAGCAAACAGTTGTAGTAAGGTGCTGTTTCCAGTCATACTATATAAGTACATACTGCATAGACAGGGGGGACTGAGAAGGAGTTGGTGACTCTTCAGCTTGAGGTTAAGGCTAAAGCTACCTTCTTAGAACTTCCACAGCAGCCCCAGTTTTACTTCAATAGCACCCTCTTCAAATATTTAAAGTGGTTAAACACAGACTATAAAATCAGCATTGGTTCTCTCTCTTACTAACTGTGTGACATTGAGGGAGTTACTTAACCTCTCTGTACCTTCATCTCCTCATGTGAAAATAGACATGATAGTATCCATTTCATAGGATGAGTATTAAATAACTTTTTACAAACAGCTTTTAGAATAATATGTGGCACACAGTATTTGCAATTATAATTTTTTTTTCAACCATTACTCATATGATGTGTCCACACCACACTGTCTGCCATGTCTAAATACATTCTTTTCTCTTTTTAAAAACCTTGTATCCAGGTTGGACACAATATTAGACATAGAACACCAGACTCTAGCTGAGTTTTAACTAGTAAAAAGTATAATCTTTTGCCACCTTTCCCATTTGCTATGATTTCACAAGGATTTTTTCTCCAAGATATGTGCAAGTTCCTTCAGAACTTTGGAATTTAATTTGTCCAACCCTCTAATTTCTTTTTCCTCATTTTCTGTCCTCACCACCACTATCATATCATAATACTCCTCTCCTAATAGAAACTGCTTTTTCCATATATGAGCCTTTGTTATGTTAGAAAATTAATTCTAAAAGACCACTTTTGTGGGATGAAGAAGGAAGGAGCCATCTGTGGGAGTAGGTAAAAGAGGGAACAGCAGCTGGAAAGGATTTGAAAGGAAAAGTATCATGGAGAAGGAGGAAAGCACGCACATATCAGTTAGATGACTGATCTACATTATGGGGAGGACGGGCAAGAGCATTGTCTGGTTTTTTCACTACTGTATCCTGAGCACTAGAACAGTGCCCCAGTCTTGAAAGGAAAAGTATCATGGAGAAGGAGGAAAGCATGCACATATCAGTTAGATGACTGATCTACATTATGGGGAGGAAGGGCAAGAGCATTGTCTGGTTTTTTCACTACTGTATCCTGAGCACTAGAACAGTGCCCCAGTTTGGGGACTATGGATCCTGCTCAGTGAGCATGGGCACTGCTTCAGAATCTTTCTTAAAGGATAGGTGCAGCCACTGATTCATAAATTCACTCATTCATCCCACAAATATATATTTAGTATATTGTATGAGCCAGGCACTGTTCTTGTGCTCAGATTACAGCAGTGAACAAGAAAGACAATGCTCTTGCCCACCCTGCCCTCATGGACCTTGCATTTGAGTGTGGACGCAAACAATTTTAATCCACATAAACAAATAATTTTAATACAATGTCAGATAGCAATAAGAACTGGGGAGAAAAATAAAGCACAGTAAGGATGGAGATTTTAGGAGGATGTTATTTTAAGCAGGATGACTAATAAAGAAATAAAGAAGCCACTTCAAGGAAATGACATTTGAGTATAGACCCAAATGAAGTGAAGAAACAAGCCACATAAGTATCTGAAGAAAGGGAGTTTGAGGAAGAGAGAACAGCAAATGCAAAAACTCTGAGGTCAGAATGTGCCTGGGATTACTGAAGAAAGCTAGGCTAGTGTAGCTAGAGGGCAGTGAGTGAGAGGGACATTCACAGAGGACAAAGTCAGAAAGGTAGTCAAGGGCAAGGTTAGGTTGGACCTTGTTGATGAGAAACCACTGGGTTTTAAACAGCAGAAAATTATAATCTAACTTACATTTTAAAGGGGGGTGAGAGCAAGAGTGAAAGCAAGGAGACCATTCGGAGGCTACTACAGTGGTCCAGGTGAGAGAAGATAATGGCTTGGACTAGAATGGTAATGCTGGAAGAAATGATATGTGGACAAATGAAAGCAAGGAGACCATTCGGAGGCTACTACAGTGGTCCCGGTGAGAGAAGATAATGGCTTGGACTAGAATGGTAATGCTGGAAGAAATGATATGTGGACAATCTGAGATATATTTTAGAGTATCCATGAGCACTTCCTGAAGGTTGGATGTGGCATATAAGAAAATGACTCAAGGGTTTTTGGCCTGAGGGACTGGGCTTACTGAGATGGAACATGTTAGAGAAGCAGCAAATACAGACTACAGGGAACTGATAGTTTGGTTTTGGACATATTAAGTTTAAGGTTATCTACGGACATGCAAGTGGAGATATCCAGTAGATACTTAGAAATGAGTCTGAAGTTCAGGGGACTGGGGACTGGAGATATATATTTGGGAGTTAGCAACAATATACAGGTAATATTCAAAGATGTGGAACTGGATGAGCTCTCCTTAAGAAATGTGTAAAAAGAGAGAAAAAGAGGTCCACGGTCTGAGCCCTGGGGCATTCCAACCTGTGGGGGTGTTGAAAGATCAGGTTAGCCCTCTTACTGAGACCAACTTTGGGTACTTGTTAGGATCACAGTCCACCTTTTCAGATCTCTAAATGTCCTGTGGCCTAGAGTCATCCCTGATACCAGATTTTGGAATTAGAAGGTATAAATAAATTAATGAGCTAATTAATACGTTTTTATAAAACAGCCTGTGGGGAAGCATAAAGTTTCCAGGTACTGGTGCCAAAGATACTCCTGGATATGGTAAAGGAAATAACTAGAGTTAGGAAAAAATAGTCAAACTCAGGGAACGAATATTCCAGTCCAGATGGAAAGTGCTATTCTCACCTCTGTTTCTGCAAAGTGGTTAGTCCTCAAGCCCTCCAAAATGGAAAGGGCCTGTGTAAAATTTTGTAAGACAAGAAGAAAAAGAGCACCAAGATAGTGTCCTCTTCCACTG